AGAGGACTCTCTTCGGTGCTTACCGTTTCCCTGCTTTTAAGCTTCGCTCTGATATTCCCAGGGCCACAAAGCCGATTTCGTGGGCCTCGCTCGGTTCCGGTTACGTTTCCTCCGACGAACGTTAAGTAAAATAGTCGTTGCTTTTTCCATGCGAATAATTGATACCGATGCTCGTGATACGTATTGAAAAATACCGGAAACTTTGCTCGCTGTTGCAAGATGGTAGACATTTTTCGTGACATCGGCGAAAGTACTATGGTTCCAATAAGAAGGGCAGCGAAACGGGACGGGTGAGAGGTTTCCGGTATATGTACTTCAGACTAAAGTTCAAAGAGCGAAGAGGAACCTGCTGCGTTCGACCCGCTTAGAGGGCAAGTTCATAAAGCGGTGGTGTTTCTTTGACGCGGTCGTATCGCGTGCGGGATACCGTTGCCACGTCGAACGATCGAGGATCACGCGGACAGACGAGCGTATGTATATCTGGCAGTCGAGGCTCGAAGACTGCCGCTACGATGAAGGCACACGTTATCAACTATCGGGCTGGAAAACTTTTTACATTATGTTAACTTGTGCGCGAAATGGCCTTCTATTGGGCCATGAGCTAGCGCGAGAGTGACGGAAAGTTTAGCTTCTTCGCTCTCTGGTCGGAGAACGTGATCCTTCGAAAGAACCTGCTCCTTGTTTATTCCCGTACTCTACGACTCGCTCGTCCCCCTTTTCTCCTCCACTTTCGTCCACGCGACTAAAGTATATCTCACGGAATAAGGCACTCGACTTTTCTGATAATGGAGGCGCAGTCTCGATCCAGCCAAGAGATCGTTTAATATATATTTCACTGGCTGCGCTCGTCGTTCGTTCGAAACCTCTATCCGTTCGAACGGCTTCCGGTTAAGGGAACGTTATGGCACGGTTGTTTGAATTTCAGACAATTCGATCGGTAGCCGCATATAAAGGTAAAAGGAATTCCTTTGTACGTTGTAATTTCATTTGAAATAAACGTACAAACAAATAAAAAATCTACGACAGCCTTTGGAGTTTTCCAATACGAAACGACTAGATTCACGATCAAATCAAAATAAATAGACGTTTGTTTTACTTTTAGACATTCGATTAATCGTATGAAAGGGAAAACATTGATCGTAATTTTCACTTTTCCGCGACGAAATCATTCGTTAATTCGATCATAACGCAGGCGAATATTATTTCTCTCGGCTGTAATTCCCTGCGGGTTTTACGATCTTTTCGCGTGCTCGAACGTTCGTCCTGTTCGTCGAGCAATATCCTTATCGCTGGCTGCGTGCGCCAGTTTATCCCGATCCGTTTTTACCCGCTCGTCCCTTCTTCCGCTTCGCGTCGTTGCTTCGTCGGACAGCTTTGCAAACAGCCAGGTTCATTTTTCCGATGCGCGTTTCTCCTGGCCGAATCGACGAAAAGCTTGGAAGACGGAAGGCTACTATAAATAGCAAAGGTAAAGAACGCGTTTGCGCCATTTAACTCGGATCGGACTCGAATGGCTCGTATAAACCGTACCGTGCAGCGGTGATTTTGAAATCGGAAAGGTGTTGTCGAGTTGCGAGTTGAAACTTTCTTCCTGTTATTCCGTGTCCTTTTTTTTTTTATATTGTTTCGAGAAAAATATTGGACGAATCGGATTGCCGGAACGACATTCGAGCTTCGAATTTTTCGTTTATCGGATATCGGTGTAAGAGGATATGTTGGGGAGATTGAATAGAAGGATCGAAAACACGTACGGTTATCTTGCTACTAAAATATCGCAGGTTGTGTTGAAACAATCGCGTTCGTTGAATTTTTAAAACAAAACGAAAATGAAGCGATAAAATATCACGAGTAGCAGGACGAAGAATTACAAGGTGTAGAAAGGTGCTTGTTATCAAAAAACACTCGGCATTCATCAAGTTCTTTCGACGATCGTGTTACGGCTCGTTGGAATAATTCGTGACACCGTGAACGATAACGTCCTCCGGGGCTCGCTCGCCGCGTGTATTCCGCTCGTTTTACGATTAGCAGAGCCAGGAAGCCGATGGGTGTACCAAAGTTATAATGCAGGCGATGAAATTATGGGCAAAGTCTCGGGGTAATTTCCATCGTAACTTCCGGCCGGGACTACGAAATTGATGCAGAATGTCGGATGATCAAAGTTGAACGCCGCAGGAGCGTGGACGGTACGTTGATCGACGTTACGCTCACGAAATCGGTCCAGGCGGTTTTGAAAGAGAATTGAACGGATACCGATCAACGGATCGAAGCTACCGGAGTAACGGAACGGGGAGAGAAACGGTGGATAGGATAAACGGAGAAGGGAAGATACTGGACTTTATGCACGTATGAATACGTACGCGTGAACTGAATGCGGCAACGGGTAGCGCACACCGGAGTTTATCGCAGATTGCAGATGGAATCACTTGGTGAATCACGTCGCAACAACCTTTCGCTAACGAAAATCACGATTCCGCGATCCGGCCGCACAGTGTCAATCCAATGCGTATTCCGTTACGTTGATTTTCTTTTTTCTCCCATGGAAAACCGCTGGTCGATGCAATGAAAGCAACGGATACGCTCGAATTCACGGCGTACCATTGGCAAAAAGTATAAAAACGACAGGGAAATTTTACTCGTGGTAAAAGTACAGGGTTGGAATTGCAGGGAAAGTAATGGTTGAAAGTAATGGAAGCATAGACGAGAAGACGGGTCAACTTCTGTCCCTCTGTTGGAAGGAATTTTGGTAATGGGATAATTCAGTCCGGTACGGTTATTAACAGGTGACGTTTCGAAACTTCGGAAATATGTAAACCGCTGTTGGAATAGTGGTAATAGTTTGGTTCTTGTTGGGATTTAGTTTACCGTAGTTGGTGAAAACGTGAACGAGAGTAATGGAGCCTCCTTGCGATTACAATGATTAATTAAAGCGGGTTAGAGGATCGGTGACCTGAACTGATAAGAATTCATTCGCAAGACACGGATGATTCTGTTTATAAAAAAAATTGACAATAGTGGATTTTATTCAAATTGCATCATTACATTATTTTCAAATAAAAGGAATTTTTATACGTACAAGCAGCCTTAAATTTAATCTTCGAAAGACACAGTCGAATCAATTATGATTTGTATCTCTGAAAAGTATCGCACACCGATACTTTGACTAGCGGGCATTCAAACTTTGTAACAAAAGATCTTCATATATTAAAAAATTGTATAAAACTTAGACAATGAGCATGGAGAAGAATCGGAAATTAAAAAATTCGAAATCATACGTTGGCTTTGTAAAGATCCACTCTATTGTTGAAGGAGCATAGGGTAGGCTGCCCTTTGGAAATTAAAAATCACCGTTTGAATTCCATGAAATTCCTATTGAACGAAGTACATTTTTTTAATTATTATTCTGAGTAATGGAAAGAAAATAATCAGCGAGATAGAGCGCGTTTTATTAAAGCTTATCAAAGTGAAATTCGCCGTTCATGAAATGAATCTCCCATTCCAGAGGCTTTGCTCTTTAAAAAAATACGTATGTGTCAAATTGTAGCACTTAAATGTCACAGTTAAAATGAACGCGTCTAGCAAAACACGTTACCGTATTGTATAAAAAATACCCATTGTTTGAGAGTTAGCAAATTATATACGTTAGAATAATTAAATTGTGATACGACGCTCAGAAGAGATGCACCAAGAATAAAGAGTACAAAGTGTTATCGTTGATACGTGTAGAATTACTTTAGTTCTTAGACGCCTCTCGAAATCTGTTTAGAACACAATATCACTCTCGTTCTCGTAACATTCATCAAGACTTTCTTGTAAGGAAAACTTGCAAAAAAATGTTGTGTTCTCCAATTCTGTCACACGGATCACAAGTGCAAACCAAGGATTCCATTACAAGTAAGTCGCTTTACACACGATCACCAAGTTGTTCACCAATACAATCGAATCTGTTCCGTTCGCCCATCATAGATTAAAGTAAAAAGAAAAAGTAAGTACCATTTACCTGGAGCGCGGTAAAATTGAAGCGCGATGGGATCGAATGGAATGATAACGACGCGACACGGTGCTTTTTGGGGTCGATCGTAGACGCGATAGAGATACTCGTGCTCTTTTATGTTGTCCGTGAGAAACGAAACTGTTCGAACTTCTATCGATGTCACAGCGTCGATCGCTGTCCTCGGTTAAAGCGAAAAACGGTGATACTCTTCAAGTCTGGTTATCACCTTCAGTTTTATCCAACGTTTGGTGTCTTCGTAAGCGTATACATTGGGTGGAGGGAGGGCACCGGCGACCAACGCCACAAGTTTAATTCAATGAAATAACTGAAAGGTAGGGAGTGAAAAGCTTGAATTGCAAGATAGAATTATGAAGTATTGAATAATTATAACTACGGCTATTTTAATTATTTCATTCATCCGGCGAATGTCCACAGTTAGCAACGAACGCGTTAAATCGCTCATAAATGAAAGTCATAGTCCTTCGCGTTCGTTCTCAACTATTTCTCGAATAGGGTCCTAAAACAAGGAAGAGCTCGACTAATTAGACTCTTTGCCAGGGAGTTTGACTGAAAATTGCTTCGTAACGCGGGGGACTTGAAGCGGAAGCGTGCTCTACGCTTCAAGATACTGCAATCATAGTCGTTTGATCCGTTCCGTTGCATTTAATCCGCTAGAACGCTCTCCGTTAACGCGGCCTGATGTCTGCCAGCGAGTAAAACGCAAATTGTTTGGAAAGGAACGTTCAGTGTTCTCGTTTTATACAGCATCGTAATCTTAATCAATAATGGGTCGATTCGTTTGTTCTGCGTGAAACGGAAGGATGATCGGTCAGGTCAGGTGAAGAGTAGAAGTAATAGAAACGCGTAGAATGGTTCAGGGTGGTCTCGTTTTATCTGGCCTCCAGCGAAATGGCCCTGACGCAAGCAGATCCTGCACGGTCGGTTTTTATTCGCGCGATAACGGTGTTCGCTTGACGAATGTTACGACAAGCGATCTCTGCTTTTCCAGATTCCATGATGGGAGAGATGGTGGTCGAGGCTGGCAAGAACGTGACGCTGAATTGTCCGGGAGTGACGGAGGATTCGTTGATATTGATGCTGGAATGGCGGGCGGACGGTATGCGATTGTTGGAGTACGGCAGCAACACGACCACCGTGTGGAATCACCAGAACAGGGTGTCGTTGTCGTTGAAAAACTACGCGCTACAGTTTCATCCTGTGACCGCGCAGGACAGCGCCGAGTACACTTGTTTGGTGAACAGCCGCAGCACACCGGAAGCCGTAATCAAGCTGATGGTTCAAGGTAAGTGGAATTTTGTTAATTTACCAGTAGTATTTAATGAAAGATAGCAATTTTGAGGAGTAATAATAAGAGTAATGTAAGAGCGCTTGATACGAATGAACACCATTCAATTGAAATAAAAGGTAATTAAACGTAAATGAATACCGCTCGATATCCATCGTGACGGGCTTCCCTTCCTCGATCGATGGAAAAATTAAGCCAATTCGAATTGAAATTGTCGATAATTGTCTCAATGGGCGCGTCGTAAAAATAATCACGGCGAATCTCGGCAAGCCCCGCAATTTCTCGCCAGCCCGTCGGAATTGTCTCCCTTCCGGTCAGAATTAAAAATTAACTTGCCCGCTTGGCAGAACTCCAACCAGCCAATGGGGGTCATCTGTATTTGCGTTTTAACCTTTGCAATCCATAATTCTTCGCGTTCCTTTAAAACGACTACGCTGGCTGTATTTACACGCTGGTGAACGCTTAACGAAGCGTCTAATCTAGCTTGTGATCGGTCTTTATTACTCGACCAACAAGCTGCACTGTTGTTATTTTTTGTTTCTACGCGAACGTGGACGCGAGACGAATAAATACGACGTAAAGCGAAAACTGTGGATAAGGAAGAAGCGATCTTATGCATTATGTAACCTGAACGACGGCGAGTGGACGAGTTTCGCAAGTCTTATTATTTTAAAGAAGCCTCCAAAGAGTGGCTCGCCGACTAACGAAGAAAGCAGTTTTCGAATTCCCAAAGTGCGACTTCCCATAGCAACTTTCAATCCCTCCTCGTTGTTTCAACGATATTCGATAAACTTGCGAGCCAACAGGACTAAATTTCTCGCGTAATGTTCGGGCAATATACACGATCGCGGAGATAATCTCGAAAAGTTCGCAAACTTGGCGAACCCAAGTTAGTAATTGTGTACATGCAATTGTTCGGAAATGAGTTACTCCGGTGAATAAAAATTAGGAATCTTAAGCATCCGGGTGAAGAACACAAGTGCCGTGCGTCGCCGACTTTCCGGACGGATCTTCTCCGGCCCTTGTTCCGTCACTTCGGTCCAGGTAACCTAAGTTCTCGCGAGAATTTTTATTTTCCAAGCAACTGGGAATCAGAGTAGCCGAAGTTTCGAACGCGTTTCTTCTGTTTCTGGTGTTGTTAAAAATGATGAAAAACTTTGCCGGCGCACTTAGGTCGTTTTTAGCCGGTAGCCGAAGACAGACGCAGCCTCGGGACTACCGGGAATTCGCTATGGGTTACGGATCGACCGTTTCACGTTTTGAACTATGGAAAGTAAAATTCCTTGGAGCATGGTAAAATATTTCGCGGAGGGCAGAGTTCCGTTTCTCGTTCTCGCTTCGAACCGAAAGGGATATTAGTCTTCTTTTTTTCTTCGAACTTCTGCATAACAGCCATTCTTTTGTTCACTGCCGCCTTGCAATTTGTGTTCATTGAACCGACTCGCAACTAAAGTTGCCGAGTTTACGCCAAGTTCTTCGTGATGGCTGTGAAAGAGCAACCAGATCCGTTCTTTCCGAAACGAGCAATTTAGAAATGCAAGGAAACCTGACTGTATTCGTGACGCTCTGACGCTTGTCGATTACACGAAAACGTAGTAAAACAGGGCAACGAACTCGAATGAATTTTCCAGCAGAGATTAGTATGAAAATTCGTCGGAAATTCTCTAATGAATTTTTCCTCTATCCGTTGATCATTTTGCCACCATTGAATTGCAAAGTTTAAAATAACAAGCTTCTTAACAACCACGTTGTCCGTCTCCCTTCTAATGCTTTATTTTACCAGTCGAGTTTCTGTTCTCGGTGGAATGTTTGTTCAAAGTATTTACTGCTGATTTGAATTCGTCACGTGCTCTCCGTCCCGTCAAAAACGAACTTTTCCGAGTGTCCCATAGGCGTCGGAATCATGGGAGTTCTCGTTAAAACTTCTCTAGCATAACTTGGCTGAAAGTTTCGAGAGCGCGTACAGGTTTCCAGAGAAAGAGAGAAAAAGAGAAACTAAAGCCCCCCTATCGTGTTACGTCTCGGTCATTTGCATTCAATGCACGATCCGCGTCTCCATTTGAATAAGAAGCTTCTCGCGGCTGAAACGAACTACTTTGGAAAAAATAAATTCAATATTTTACCGAGGATTCGTTCCTTTCCCCCGCTGGAACATGGGAAACAAACGACGCTTTCGTGGCCGATTAGAAACCTGAATACGAATATGGTGTTACTGTTGAAATTTACGACTTTATCGTTTGTCATTTTTTTATATCACTTTGTTCCATTGTTTCGAGCGTAGACAATCTACACAGAGCTTAGTATTGATCCAAACTATTTTCTTAAAATGGTATTTAGTATTTTAAATCTTGGTACTCCTACGGAATATAAATTTCTTCCATCCCGTAGCGATTAACGTGTTAATCGTTTTCGTTTAAACTTCGTATTCAAAAAGCTGACATAATAGAGAAACGTTGCAGCTCCTTTCTGTTCGCACAATCCTGATTTCGAATACCAAAACCCTGCTCACCTCTTATATTGTATATCCCACGTGGCACGTGATAGCATCCGGAATTCCGCGCACGTAGCGTTTCAGCGGTAACCAATATCCGCGTTATATCAACCATTAAAATGAATATTTCTCGAGCTACTGGCAGACGCGGTTGCTCGCGAGTAGACCATTCCCCGGTGAAAAAACTTTTCTCTTCAACTTCCGTCGACGTACTTACCGCGCTAGTTTCGTTTCAGTTTGACAAGTGGAATGAATTTCGTTTGCCAATTATTTAAACATATCGTGGACAAAGAGTCAGCCCCTTTAAGATGCGAGCAGGAAAACGTCGCGGAAACGGTACGGTTTCCTGTGATTTTTCAAGCAGATTTTCTGAAAGTTAAATCAAATTCGCCGAAGCGAGGTTGTGCCAGGTTGAAACGATTTTCAAGCTTTGAAAATTCTCTGCGTTATACGTCCCTGTGACACTGCTGTCCCAGCTTTCAACTTCGCCTTTCGCAGATTTTATTTCCGTTTTTTATTATTTATCATTCGTCGTTAAGAAACGACCGAATGTCTTTGCTAAGCAACTTCGTCTTTGGAATTTGAATGGTTAAGTTTAGTGCATTAGAGGATTAAAACAACCCTCGAGTAGAAAGAAAGATATTCGTAATCAAGGATGATTCACATTAATTCAGCAACGATAATTAGGCATTTCGTTTACATATTTCAATCGGAGAGACTCAAAAGCTTGACGAGCTTTTTCGTCGGCTTTAACGCCGCGTATTCGTGATTTCATAAAGAAGATGGAACTCTCGAATATAAAGAGAATATCATAAAGCGAGCGCACCGCGTCGGAGGCTTAGTTCTTGCACAAAAAGAACGAAAAAAAAAAAGAATAAACAGTACGCATAAATGTACTCTTCGTTTGGCCTCGTTTTTCAAGGCTATGACCACTGTTTCAAACAGCAGAAACCTTGTACCTTGATATGAATTTCTATAGCAATGTGTCATAGCTGGCGACACTTTGAAGCTATTATTCTTTACTTCATCTTTCGTTTCATTTCCAAATGGATGGTAGCAGCGAATGTATTGATAATTCGAATTCTCAAAAGAGGCAATCAATCATCAGAGGGTACTAGTTTAACCAGTACACCGAAAGAATCAGCGGAATACAGATAGGATTAGAACTCGTAAACGGGATTAGAAACTAGAGGGAAACTTTACATCCCTGAACTGTCGTAACTTGCACTTCCAGCGTCCGGTCAACTCCTCGAATCCCAAGCGGTTGATACGATCGGAATTGGATAGTACATCGTAGATACTCGTTCGTCTTTTAGATCCTTTTTAAACGAAAATTGTCGTGAAAAGAAAAGAAAAAGGATGAACGTAAGAGCGAGGTAGAGATGAAAACGATGAAACAAAGGAGGTTGGTTGCTCGATAACGATCACCGCTTTTGTTACACAGTCTCTTCACACGAGCCTATACCTTTGTTTTCCTCGTTTCACCCCCTTCTTTCTATTCCTCTGAATAGCGCACCCCCTTCATCGACGCGCGAGACCCAGCGAAGATAACTACGTTTTCCAGGGAAATGGTTCGAATTCGGTCGGATGTGGTCTCGGCGCGCGAACAGAGCCAAAGAAAGGAGTTCTATTGAATATGGAAGGGGTTTCAGGGTTGGTCTCGTTAATCTTCAAAGGCTCACGTGTACGCATGGGCTATTTCGAAATTCAATAAATATTTTCGCTTTTCGTCGATGCTCATGGGACTCCTTTCGTGTTCAAAGGTCGAAATTCATTCGATTTTCTTTTTGTTATAGTTAAAAAAATCTGTATTTCTTTTCGCTTAAATTGCTCAGTAACTAGCGGCAGCGAAACGTTGAAACCCTTATCGAACAATTGATTGCAAGCCATTATCAACGAAATCAGCAAACTTGCATATAGCCTACCCTCCATTTATCCGTCTCTTATGACAGCGCTTGTATACCAGGCGTTTCTATGCGCACTTTGTCTGAGCATTTACGGCTTCCAACAGCAACGATGCGCGACAATGGAAGAAAAACGTGGCTCGCGGCATACAAGGTGTATTGTTGCTCGTGGCCGAGTACCATCGCGGCTTCAAACTTGACCCCTCTCCCTTTTTCTCTTCTACTCACGGTTTCGCGTCTCATTTTTGTTGTTGCTCTCGTTACTTTTTTCTTCTTTTTTGTCCACTCCCGTTGCTCTATTTTTGCCATGACGATGAGAATTCCATTAAATCAAGCGGAACGATATCGACGCGCGTCGCTCGTAAATCACCGGTCGCTCGAAAATCGCGCGGCCTCGTGATTGAGAGTTCGATAAAGGAGAGAAGCATCGCTGGGATATCGAATTTTGATGGTTCAAACGTCACCGTGATGAAGTTATGGTACTGTTAGAAATTCTTCAATTTGCAAGCAAACTCGTCTCTGTACGTAACACCGCTGTCATAATTTTCTACCAAGTATCATTCTCAATCGAGTCGGTAACATCAATCGTGAAATATCTTCTC